GCATTCACCGAACAGGAAGAGGCGGCCATCGGGGAATGGTATTGTGACAATAGCTGTTTATATAACAAAAGACACAGGGACTTTAAAAATGCTGACAAAAAGCGCCGTCTTATGGAAGAGAAAGCCAATTCATTTGATCCTCCATGCACTTGTAAGTTTGAAATTTCGTTTTATAATCTTTAGAACAAAGTGTAGGCTTATAATTTTTGGTAGTAGGACAGTATGTTTATAGTACAAAAATAATGTTTTATATATTTATATTATAGGTGAACATATTTGTCTGCGACTAGATATAGGCCTATGACTGATTTAAAGTTCTATACTTGTTTAAAATTTTCTTTTATTAATACTGAATAGGGCCTACTAGTTTATAAACTAGGCCTAAATATATAGGACTGTAGACAAATTAACATGGCTATAAAATAACAGACGGTATAAATAAAACGTTTATTCAATATTTTAGTTGGTAATGCACTCACAAGCTCTTTACATGTAGGTCTAACCGTTAAATATACGTATACATGCATCCATGAAATAACTGTAGGCCTATAATAATGTAAATATGACGCAAATTGTTTACATAATTTTGGGGTTTTTTCAGACAAGCAGTTGAAAATGTTTTTAGACTCCATGAGGTCCCAGGTGGGCAAGATCACCAAACGAAAGTCTGGCCAAGGGACACAACTGATGTCGGACCGTGATGCATGGGTAGTTCAAACCTTCGGCTTTCTGGAAAAACACATTGTCCGGATCCCAAGCAGGCCTACTGCTAAGGTGTGCTTTAAAATGCAATGCGTAAACAACATACTGTTAATTATTTAGTTTTTACAAATGCACAAAAAATAGTGCCATTTTTTATTTTACTGACATATACGGTAGATAATACGTTTTACAATTGTGCAAAATGTTTTAATCAGTGGCGTATTTAGGGGGTTCCCCAAAAAAATTTTTTGACAAAATTAATGTAAAAATAATCATCTGTAATTATTTTTCTGTGTCCACACAAAAACAAACAAATAAAATACAAAAAACAATCTGGAATTTTTATTTGGGTTTGCATGTTTAAAAAGATTAACATTTCCAAAGTGTAAAATATTTTTGTATTGTCTATAAATACTTTAGCCAAGAACTCTAGGTTTCATTGTCATGTAGATATGTTCGCATCTAAGTATTTTAGTCACATGCAATGTTGTATGTCTCGATTACAATAAGTTGAACTCCTCTGGCAATCTGAGCTGATTTGACAGGAATCATTTCCAAAAACCATTTCGAACTTGTGTCATGAAAACCTGAAAATAAACAAAAGTATTCATAATTAACGAGACATGCCCTCCACTGTCTTGGACAGGGGTGGCGCTGGGGGGGGGGGGCGCCAGGGAGAGCTTCCTCTCCCTCCAGTCGGGGAGAAAAAGCACAATTCGTCGGGGAGAAAAAAATATGTATGTATTTTCTACATATTAGTAGACTCTAAAATCGATTAAATAAGCCTTTGAAACCCCTAAATTGCCAAAATTTTGAATGCTAAAAAACGTTGCAGTTCCCAGATATTAAGACATCAGATTCCATGGCCATACCCAGTGGTGGTGATGATGACGATGATGAGAAAGAGGAGGAGGAGGATAATCGTCAGGGAGATTCTCCTCATGCCATGGAGACAGTTAGCACAGATTCGATCTCTGATGAAGCTGGGACCAGGGGAAAGGTCAAGAACAAGAGCAGGCCAAAATGCAAGGCTACTAAAACTAAAGAATCTGAGGTGCTCGGCAAGGTGAAAATTGCTTTTTATGTTATTATGTCGTGATACATTATTATCTAGTGACAAATTGATTTTATTGAATTGCAACTTCTTGCTGTTTATTCATACAACTCTGAAAGAAAATGAATGGACACATGCCTTTGTTTGATAACTTAATATCAGCATAGCATGGTGTATAATTAACTAAACCAAAATTGTTGTTGTTTTGCGTTGCAGTTACTGACCCGTGCCGATGAATTGGCCAAAATCCGCAATGCTCCTGCCAAAGAAATGTCTCTACACGAGCAGCAGGTTGAGACGTACATGGGGTATATGAAAACACAGATACAACTTATTCCATGTGAAAACTGGTACCAGTTTACAATAGACAACATGAAGCTGGTACAATCGTATGTGGTCAGACACTCTGCATCAACTGGCCATCATGCAGCACCTAACCAGTCCGAATTATATACTCGGAGTTCTTCTCAAGGTTACCGGATTTTTCCGTCACATCGCTACTCCCAACTCTCCACTCTCACGCCTATGTCGCCTCAGTTGAGTGTGTCTGGAGGCTCCGAACATCAGAAGCCCTACATACAATCCCCCTATCGCAGTTTCCCGACCGGCACCCAAGATTGCCGTCTATCGCCAACTCCTACGTTTGGAAGTTTACCGACCCAGGGGAGGTACACATCTGTAGAAACACCGAGCTCGGGTGGATCCTTGGCTTCATATACGGCCACTATGCCCATTGACGTTGAGTCTACAGAAGACATATCCCCCACTTCAAATTTGAGCCGAGCAAATAAAATCTACACCAATTTAGAGTAAATTTTGGCAACTACATTTAGATCAAAGACCTTTTGTATACTTGTTGTAAAGTTGTGAATGATACATATCTGTTGCTTATACCACATTCCTATTGCATGAGTTATAATTTTTGGGTAGTTATTTTATAGGATTTGAAGTCCGACATGGATATTGAGAAACATTTACAAAAAGATGGTGTTGATTACATTATACGTTGTTAAATATGTTACATTTACCATGTTTTTAAACAAATATTTTAATAATATGAGTAAATATCTTGTTGAATTTACATTTATTCGTTTAATGTAAATTTAATCACATATAATAAAGTTTGTATTATATACTTCGTTGGCATGTTTTATTTCAATGTTGAACTTGGTTATTTAGGAAAGCAAATAGTTTTTTTTTATTTTTATTTATTTGTTTTATTCTTCAAAATAAATACATACCTTAAATCATATTATTCTGCCAACTGACACTGCCAACAGGGTTGTTGTAATAGGAGCACAGGTAGTCACGTTGGCCCTTGGCAGCCTTTGTAGTATTGTTTCCTTTTAAGTATTCCAGGGCTGTCAGTGCTTCTTGCTTCCGCCACCGACCTGGAATTACTTCATGTGTGTCCGGGTCTTCCCTGTCCATTAAGTCGTTGGCCACGTTAGGGTAGCGGGACCTGAGTAGATTATGTAGCACGCAGCAAGCCAACACAATGCTCTCTACTGTTTTGGGGTCTTGCTCAAACGTGCCAAGAGTACAGCGGAACCTAAAGGAAAACACAGCATAAAATAACTTCCCAATGCGAAAGTAAATTAGTTAAATTTAAAAGAAATTAAATAGATAGACTGAAGAGATATTCCTAATATAGGCATACATTAT